TTTCTTCCGCCTCTCTTTCTCTCTCTCTCTCTCTATCTTTCTCTCTCTCTTCTGCCCCCCCTCTCTCCTTCTCTCTCGCTCTCTCTGTCTCTTTCTCTCTCTCTCTCTCTCTCTCTCTCTCTTTCTCTCTCTCTCTCTCTCTCTCTCTCCCTCTCTCTCTCTCTCTCTCTCTTTCTCTCTCTCTCTTTCTCTCTCTCTCTCTCTCGTTTTTTTGCTAAATCGAAACTGGATTTTTCTGGGGAACGTGTTGTAGATCTGGCCCTTGATCTTCATTCAGAACATAAAGGTAATGATTAGATAGCTGTGACATTTTATCATAGGTGAATTCTGGTCAGTTTAATATAGCTCTAGATCTAGATATTGTATCGTATAGAACCTAACAAGACTCACCGAGTCTCCTAAAGGAGAGAGACTAGATCTGGATCTAGATATTTAGACTTAGGCCTAGGCCTAAACTTGCCTCTCCTTCTAATTCTTAGTCTAGATCTAGATCTACAAAGGCATTCCCTAATTTTTTTATAACTTACTAATGACTAACTAGAACCGCTTTGTTAGCTGGACACTGCATGCAGTGTACAGGGATAGGACTGGCCTTTGTAGATCTAGATCTAGGGTTTTTTAGTATTTGATTGGAACAGCACATTTTGAGCCTAACCCTAATACTAATACTAATTTAGTGTAACAAGTAAGCTTCCTATTACCGAGTAATGGTATTCACTAGCTAGTAGTGCTAGATCTAGATCTAGGCGAATAATCCATATGTACCTGTGCATTTCACTATGGGGGTAAAATAATTGCAACAAAGATGATTTTGGTGTTGTTACAACCAGTAGACCTTCCTCTATAACATACTGAAAGTCAGCATGCATCTTAAAGAAAGAAATTTGTTAAAAATGACGTTTAATTGTATAGTATCGAAATCGTCAAATATCGATACCCAACTATTTCAGAATCGTACGTCATATCTCACAATACAAAAATCTTACACCACTGCACGGGGCTCTGTCCTCTAAAACTCAGGTTTCTTATCCTAAATGGGGGACTTTGAATTCTAAACTCTCAAAATTATAACGGGGAGGTAAAAAAGTTAGAGTATTAATGTACATTGAGTAATCGATACTAGT